GACTTGGTAATAAACATCGACATCTTAGATGGAAAATAAACCAATGGTTAAGGCATAGCGATGTTTTGAAGGGATCGAAGGGTACGCTGTAGATTACGAGGTTGCTAAAATTTCTCCAAAAGTTATGCTCATTTACGGTGATGATGCTGGTCTTTTGAGAGGTACTGGGAACTACAGCGTTCCCGAGGTGAATGCACAGTTGCGAATTGTCCTTCGTGCAGACGTTGCACATGATAAAATTGAAGAGTCAAACCAGCTGTGTCGCTGACGGTCGCTGACACGGATCTGCTGCCATTCCACTGCAAGCGTAAAAGTTTCCATTAACTCTACTTTTCAATTTGGATCACCGATCAAAGAGACTTTGAGGAAATGACGGGCATGAATGGATCCTCACGGAGTGAGGATTCACCACTTGGTCCAATCTTCGTGTCAGAATTTCCCAAATTGAAACTGTCATGCTGTAAATATCCACTGACTTTGAATAACCGGTGATGAACTCATCCTCGTGACCTTGGTTTTGGTAAGAGAAAGAAAAGTGTGTACACTTGAGGCTTTTGTGAAAACGGTGAGTACAGCAGATACCAAACAGCTTCTTGCCTTTGGCGATGACAGAAAAGTCAAATCTGTACCAAACTGAAGGAATAATTGGACTGGGAAACTCATTGTCCACACCGAAACCGGAAAACATAATTTTACGCTTGGAATCGAAGCAATCATCCAAACAGTGGAAATACGAAAATAAGGCTATTTCACCTAGCCATCATCACAACAGACCTACGCAGCGGTAATACCATATGCTACATAACTCCAAGCCAAGCTTTGCATTAAGCGATTTCTGCGTAGGCGATGAAGTGAATCAGACTCTCATAAGGGTTAAAGCCTGTTTATATCATTCCCCACTAAAGCTGCTTCACATGTGATCATTTAAACACGGAGATGAGCGTACAAATATAAAGATGGAAGGGTTGTGAAATATGGCAAATGCAGTTTCTAAGCTATGGAATTGCGTCTTTTCATTTATAAAGTCGGAGTCATAAATTTGATAGTATCACGCCTCACATTGACCATTTAGTCCCCTTTTTTCACTACCCTCCGCAGTTCAGATGTTTTAACAATGGCACCAAGTGCCACTCATTTTCATGACTATTCTGTTAAAGGTGACCTGAAAAAAATGCGTTTCTTATTTTTGACGCTAATGGTGGACAATGAAACCGGAATTCCACATAAACGCTCTGTTGGCAGGGAAAATGGCAACGTAAATCCGAGGCCTCCAGTTATTAACGCCAGTTTGATTGATTATGCAGAGGAGGATCAGCGACACATCAAGACTTATGCCATTGTACCTCCGGTGCCATAAAGATGCAGATCCCAGAGCATTACTTGCCAAATGTTTTACTTGGCTTCCGAATAAATGACTAAAGGCAGGAGAGAATGATTTAGCTCCAAGAGAAGGAGGATGCTTACGTTCCTGCAGGAAGGCATCTATCGCTCGCTCAATTACAACATAGCGAATGTCGACCATTCGAGTGTTTGGACCGGCACCAATGAATTTGACGATGTTTGGTTGATTGCAGGTAGCAAGTGTATAGGCTTCACGATAGTTGTATATACGTTCAACAATCGTGTTCATGAGTCTGAAATCCTTCTTTACCACCTTTTTACGTCGGTATGTCCCAAATGAGACAACTTGGCAACTCCCTCCTGAAATGCTCTTAAAAACGTAGAGAGCTCATTTTGTGAACGCTCTAGACGGCGTCCACTCCTCCTATCCCCGCCATCGCTATTATCATCGGCGTAGTGAGAGCAGAGGGTGCCAATCCCACCGAGATCGGCGAAGTCAATTTAATGGGTAATCCCCTAATTTTGACCTTGTGTGGTTAAAATCAAGTGTGTCTATTCTGTATTCATTTTGGGTTCAGGTTTTCGTTGCGTTTTTGCATTTTATTCATAACAACCTTAGCATTAACTAAACTACCAAGTTAGGGTAATCGGTACGGCTTCCACAATGGATAATCATGCCTCATTTTAGTTATAGTGTCTTCAGTTTTTTGAAATCAAACGAAGCTTAAAAATTGTCAAAGGCAATGTAACTTTTGGTGATACCTTACGTGATGATTCGTGTTTTTCCTCTATTTTGACGCTTTGATGTGTGTATGTGTAGGTTTGTCATGGAGTAAACCAAAGTTGGGCACATATACCCCTTCTATTTTTAAACCGCCGGTGAGGTATATTTGTCAGTCTCCCATGGAATGCCTTGTAGCGACGCAAAAATAACTAAAACCGCTATGATATGCAATGACTGTATAACATGATCTTGTTGCTGGAACCTTTTAATCAACTTGTTTTTTATTCTTCAGCCACTTCTGAGACGACGACCATCATTCGCTTCACCGTGACGATTGCAAAAGTGATGAGGGCCGAGAAGGAAGGGTGAAAGAAAGAAAGGAGAGACTAAGTCAACTTGAGCTGCTAACATTAAAGGAGGAGGGAGTAGTTTTCAAACACGCTGTGCTCTCCGGTAAAGAGGCCTAGTTGAGTGTCTTCTTTCCTTTAGCTTGTAAATGGACCACTATGTGTGATGTGTATGTGCATTTACGAATCAGAATTTCTCCACTCGAGCGTTTATTTCCTGTCTGGTGGTGGGGTAGGAAAATGAGCTAAAATGGAACTGTTGGCTGGGTCATGAGAAGCAAATAGCCTTTAGTTTTCTTCGCATTAATGCGAGGTGGGCATCTGGAGAATCGGTTTCGGTGGCTTTGATTGGATACAGCGATTACTCTCCTCAAGGAGCCAGATATGTAGACATTTCGTGTAAACCACCGATTTAAGCTGCCGATAGCGTATCCTCCTCCTGTGAGTGAAGTCAAACGCTTTGGTTTCGCTGCTGTGTCACGGCCGATTCCAGCCCGCCTGCTCACTTGTGATAGCTGAGTCAGAAGAAAGATTATCCCTGAAAGGGAGGCAGAAGAGAAGAAATAGACAGAATGTTGCCCAAACCAGAATGAATAGATCGTTGTGGAGTGCTTTATGCGCAGTATATTTAACTGCGCGAATCAACTAAACCTCCTACAGACGTATCATAAAGCAATGTTCACGCCACTTATGCCGCTAGTCTTCACCCTCCGAATTCCTACATAGAGGCCTCAACAGTAACTCAGTTCCACGTTTAGACGAAAATGAGGAGGCCTATTCAGATCAGTTCCTATTTAGACTAAACCACTCATAAAACAAAAGATTAGTGTAAATTCAG